GGGAAAGAGCCGGAGTCCCGGCCCCGGAGACGAATCACATGACCTAGATGCCCCGCAGCCGCCCGCTTCCTCCAGCTCCGTTCCGTCTACACCACGCTCCCCAGGGAAGGGAACGGGGCCCACGCGTCTTGCCCCCGAGCCCGTGGATCTCGTTCACGGAGAGGAGTCCACAGGGGCCCGGGTGTGGCTGCAGTATTTGGAGATCATGTTTTGTTTTGGGGGGTTTTTTTTTGGAAATAATACAACTTGAAGGTGCGTACTGCCCCCCGACCTTCAAAAATTGTTCCGAGGCAAAGCCTTGTAAAGGTCACCTCACCCTCCAGAGCCTCTGTTTTTAACAAGATCCATTCACAGGCCAAATGTCATCCTGCATGTGCCTTTCCGATGGATTAAAGGTGCTTTTGTTTTTGTGAGTTTTAAGTAAATATTTGTATTGTATTGTCATAAATGTCCAGTGTCCCTGACTTTCAATCATGCCTGTAAACCCCGCCTCGGTCCCCACTGGGAGAATTGAAAAGACAGGTGGGGTGTCCATTGTGGGATGCGGTCCACACCCCTGTCCGCTCAAGGACGTGGGGGAAGTTAGAGGTTTGCCAAGGGCAGCAAGAATTCACCCCACCATTTAAAAAGCAGGTGCCGGTGCCCCTTTCAGACAAGTCTTTGATTAGCTCTGGATTTTATTTTTTAACAGGGAGAAAAAGAAAAAAGGATTTTATACTTTGCCTTCTCCACATGCACTTAGATGGAAACGCAGGCTTAAATTAATTTTAATTGCTTCCTTTTTCCATGTTTCTTCCTGCAGAGCCTGATGGGAGGATGTCCAAGGCAGGGAAACCACATTTTCTGTAGATGATAATTAAATGAAAATTGGTGCTTATTTTTACACTTCTCTTTCGTGGTGCTATCTGTTAAGATCTCCTTGAAGGTGACACTGGGGGTAGCTGCCATGCCTCGTTCTCCCATCTTCCTCCATCCTGGCTATTGCCTCCAGCATCCGGGTTTTTGCCAAGCACGTTAAGGTAAATGCGGGTCACCTTCCCTCCCATGGCCCCATTATCCTCCCAGACAGCAGTGAAGCCGCCCCAGGCCGGGTACCAATCTTAGGCTGTGCATCTGTGATCTGAAAACACACGCACACACACACACACACACACACACAACACATGGTCGCTTTCTGCATGGTCCACGGTGTAACGATGGCAGATTGTATTCTGTTGCCGAATGTTTGTGGTGCTAATTTCTGCGTTTGTTGCAAGAACTGAATTGAAGCTGCATGTGGCCTCTCAGCTGGCCTGCCTTTGGTGCAGCCTCAGCAGACAGACAAATGTGCAATGAACTCTGTGAGTCCCTCCGGGATTGCCAGCGGTGCCTTTTCCCCATGAAAGCGATTTGGATTTCCATCTGCAAATGCGCTGGGTGTGGGTCTCAGCCGCGCGGGCGCTCGAGGACCGGCCAGGCTTCATCTGATACTGGTCCTCCCTGAGCGAGGGTGAGGGTTGGCAGGGCCAGCGAGGAAAGGCGATCCCTTTACTGTGAAAAGCTGCCCGTGTGCAATGCCCTTTCCTTCCACAATGGGAGAAGCAAGACAGGCCCCAGGGCCCTGTGCAGCCTCCTCTGGAGGAGCTGTGACAGGTCCCAGCTCTGGTGCTGTTTTCCGCCCACCCCGCCTCATTGGACCGTGGTTCCAGCTTAGGAAACCACTGCGGAGCAACCCAAGAATAACAACACACCACCCACGAGGATTTCCTGAATTCCTCTGGAGATTGAGTCTTGCTGTTGCCAAAGAAAAGCCTGGCTTCGAGATTCTTCCGAACCCAGGATGCCAGCATCTGCCAGCGACCCTCTCCTTCATCTCGTCAAAAGAAAAGCCATGTCGGAGCATTGCCGTAGGGCGCCCTGTGGGTCTTGTCTAGGTCATGTGATTCCAGTTTGATTTCTCATCCTGCCCGAGTTCTCCTTTTATTCTGTCGACCTTTTCCTCCATTGGACCCTTCAAAGCTGTTGTAATTTGTACTGAAGTCAAAATGTGTCCCGTTTTCCCCAGACCACTTAGCTATGGTATATTGCAATAAAATTACTTCTTATGTTTGCAGAAATTCTTTTGGTGTAATTTTATTTTTTCCCCCTCATCTACATAATTGGACACGTGTTGGCGAAAAGAAAAAGAAAACGGTTCAAAGGAAACCTGTGGTAAAGATGCTAGGACATCAGGCCCCTTAAAACTAGAATGTTGAGTGACACGTTGTACGTTTCCTAAAAATCCAGTAGACGTGTTCATACGTTTTAACTGTAATGCCCAGGAGAGGGTGTTTTAAAATATTTTAAACCTGTGTAACAGAGGAATAATTGTAACCCTTTTTCAATAAATCAAGATTAATGTTTCCACCGTAAACAGATGTGATCGGCTGTCTTCTTAAGTGTGACCAGGGCCTTCCCCTGCATTAAACCAGTGTGTGACCCCAGTCTCAGGACAGGAGAAACTCTCAAAATCCTGGCCAAGGTCACAGAAAGTGGAAGGAAGCCACTGCCCAAGCCATGCGCCAAGGGAGCTCTTCCTCAGAGGAAGTGGCAGTGGGCGTCCGGAGACAGAGCTGTGCCTTGGGGTGCCCTTGGGTTGTGGTCAGGCACCAGCCCTCCAGCCTTCCTGGGGGAGTTTCCACAATCCTGGGGCATCCCGACCTTGACAGTGTGCGGGCCTCACTCGCGCCCTGCGGAGGTGGCAAGTCCCCAGGCTCCCCCTCTGCCGTCCAGCTACAGAGCGGGATGATAGAACCCGGCCCCCTGGCTCAATCCTGGCCGATGACCCTGAGCAGAGGTGGCTCTTCCAGTCTGACACACTGGTTCTCTCTTGCGTGTCACCAGCCACATTCCCAGAGTGGCTGCGTCCCCAGTGAGTGGGTTCCCGGAGGGAGTCCCTGGCCAACCCTCCGTGAGCTTACGGCATGAGCGAGAAACATGTTGCTTTCAGCCAACACTGATGTCAGGGATTGTTGTTACTGCAGCAAAACCTAGACCCAGTGGCTCTCAGAGTGTGGTCCACGGACCATCGGCACGGGCATCAGCACCTTGTTAGGAATGCAGATTCCTGGGCCCTGCGGCAGACCTGCTGACTCGGACACGTTGGGGGCGGCCCCGTCATCTGTGTTTTGACAAGGCCCGCAGGTGATGGCGGGTCCCCCTGCCAGACAGTGGAGGCGGCAGCTGTCGTCAGAAGATGGAAGGCTCCCTGTCTCCAGAAGCGGGCAATTGCTTTTACAGCACCAGTGCGAGTTGGCGGGTCCCCCTGCCAGACAGTGGAGGCGGCAGCTGTTGTCAGAAGATGGAAGGCTCCCCGTCTCCAGGGGCAGAACGTGAGGTCAGATCGCTCTTTGCTACCTAGGCGAGCTCACAGGCCGATCACGAGCAGTAGCGCGTGACCTGGGAAGAGGTCGGAACGAGGACGGTGACACAAGCCACTTGCTCTCGACTGCACTTGGCACGAAAGGAAACAGAGTCCGCAGATTCAAGGGTTTTCAGGGCTGGAAGAGGCAACCGTTTCTCAGCATCGACGGTTAAAGATGAAATTGAGAAACACTCTGTGGGACAAACGCCAATGAAAGCTCGTTCATCACAGATCTGAGCAACACACTTGTTTGAAACCTCGGCCTGGATTGCAGTGGCGCCTAATAAGTTAACTCAGGAAACAGTGTGGCACTCCCATCAGAGCCGGACAGGTCAGAAGCTGCTGCACCAACGTCAAGACAGGGAGCGGGGCAGGCGGGGTGTGTAGGAGCTATGGGCCTGGGCGCCGGTCCTTGGAGCCCAGTGAAATCCAACGGGCCGGAAGCTGATGACCTGGTTGAGAGGTGTCCTGCAGGGAGAGCTGCCAGCCCGGCCTGAGGAGTCCATGACCGAGACTTAGAATGACCCACAGGCCTCCAGGGGTTGCACTGGCCCACAGGTGCCCCGTGGGGCTGGGTGACGGGGCCTGGGAAGACCAGGGGCGGCCTCCCCTCACTGGAGGCAGGTGCTCAAAGGTGAGCAGGCTGAGCCTCGGAGAGGTGGGGGAGGAGGCTTAGCGTTTTAAGATCGTAGTGTCCTGAGTGACACCCATCTGGGGCAAGGCCCTGCAGAGCCCCCATTTCTCTGCACCTCCTTCCTCATCCTGGAGACTTTGCAGATGAAAGCACCTGCCCGTAGGCTGGGCCAGAGGAAGAGAGCCTGCAGGTGCTGGTATGGCTGGAGCCTAGAAACCAGCGAGCAATCCCACCTGTGCATCCCCGGAGATGGGAGCAGTGAAGCTAGACTCACTTTGGTACCACTCTCCCAGCCCCAGGGCCCACCCCCCACCCCCCACCCCTGCACCATCCATCACGCCCCAGCAACTGGTCCGCAGGAGCTCATCAAGCCCCTGCAGCCACCCACACCTGAGCTGGGTCTTCCGGAGAAGTGAATGGAGACCTCACACCAGGACTTTGCTCCCTGTCTTGGGAGAGGTGAGAGCCGTGGAAATGAGGGTGTCAAGCTGGGTCTTGGCTGCAGAGCGGCTGAGTATCTGCAGCTCACAGCATCTGTCTCAGGCACCCTGGAGAGATAGTGCCTAGAACCCCCGCAGGAGCTAGGCAACAGCTGGCCATTGGTTTTTAGCATTCCCACGGGGCTGCATTAGTTCTTGCTGGATGAGGGGAAACACCTGTCCCCACAAAGGAGGAAGCCGGCCATTGTTCACCGTTTGGAGCTGGAATTAATCCAAGCTTCCCATGTTGGAAAAGATGTCCTCAGTGCCCCTTATCTTAGCACTGCTGCCCCGTGTCCTAGGGTGCCCTTGGAGTGGCAGGAAGGGATGGAGGGAGGGAGGAAAGTGTGTGCACACCCATTTGGCATGGGGGCGGGGGCTTTGCTAAGAGGCTCCTGCTGCTGCAGAGCTGGGGCTCCTGGGCTCCAGATCTTGGGGGACAAGTCCTTTCGTATCTGCCAAGTCTCTTGGC